AGGTTTTGTCGGAGCTTCATTAATTCATCATATATATATATTTAGCCAATTCTAAAGCACAATATCCCTAACACTTTTTTTACATAATGCTCTCGTTGCCAACCACAGAAATAAGACACTTACAACAGTACATGGACAAATATACCAAACATTTCCTGGAAAACTGGATGACCTTCATGACATCACTCAACTCCCTTTATATATCTCATTCGATTACACCACCATTCCAGTTTCCCCCTGAAGAAGAAAGGTCCACCTTTCGAAAGCACTTGGGTTATGGGGTTTTTATCATTTTGTATGAAGACTTCTTGAACCTATGTGTTTTTATGACATCATGAATTTTAATATCCCAGTTACTTCTACAGATATTTCATTTCCAGTAAAAAGAGTTCAAGATTGCTTAAAACAATGACAAGGTCTTCGGGAATGACTGTGATTTTTACTCTTGAACTCTGTAATGTTAACACAACATTTGTTATGTGGTTATACTGTAACCATATTTCAAAGATATCATAAATTTCTTAATTATTGCTTTCCAAATACCAAGTCAGTATGGAAGATGGTGAGGAAATGGGTAATATTTCTGTAGAACACTTAAAAAGAAAGATTCAAACCTGCATAATACATTGTAGTGCAGAGGATCCAATATATCTTATTTCATTGAAAAGTATATGTAATACTTTTCAATGAATTTTACCACATTCAGAAAAGTATTACATATGCTTCTGTAATACTTTTTGGAATGCAGCAAAGATAAGAAAACATGAATCTTTTAACAGTAGCAGCGACATTGGAGGTAATGGGATTCCTGACATTGTTTACTATAAATCATGCCAAAATTGTTCACAATGAAAAGGGAATTAGATGCTATTGTTTTAAAAGAACAAGGTGAAGTTGAGAGAGATCAACAAAAAAGATCGAGTGTTGAGTCATCTGTTAGAGAGAAACAAATGTCATGAGTATAAGTGAAAAGATGTATTTTGTGTTTGAAGTAAAACAACTATATTTGAAAGGAAGCTGAACATCAGAAGAACTTATACAATGTGTTTATGTGCATGCTGATGAAAGAAACAAGCCATCTAGCTATACAGCAAAAGGATGATTAGTCTATTGCAATAGCTACATAAAAACTTGAAGCTGTTGAAGCCCATTACCATAGATTTTGCTACTGAATGTACACAAGGTAAAAATATAAAGCAGTGACAGATGGAGACAATTCAAAGATGCAGACTTTACCAGGATTGAGTCTGAAGCCTACATCGAGGACATTGTGGGAAAGATAGTTGTGATGAGGCTTGAAGCATTAATACTTCAAGGAAAATAATCGTATATAATTATATATATATATATATATATGTGTGTGTGTGTCAGGTTTTGTTTATTTTAATGGTATCTGGTTGTTGTGATGAAAAAACGACTTTTTTTTTATACAATGGCATTGAGTTGAGGATAAGTATAATTAGGTATAAAGTTAAAGATTCCAAGATTAAATGATTAATGTTCTATTTATTTTGTGGAAAAATGTGTCAGGGCTTCATTAACATATTGTTTTTTTTATGAATCTCCTCTCAGGTAAGGGATTTGTTGAGCTTGTATTGTCATTCATATACGGTTTAAAATGTTACCTTTCTGGAGCTTAAGATACTTCTAACACATGTCTACCCAGTAAAAATGTTTACTAAAGACATGGAAGATTTTGAAAATTTAAGGAAGAATTTGCCCACATTACTAATACCAATGGGTCAATTTTTTTTTTTTTCAATGATTAAGATTTGCCATATGTTATATTAATGTTAAAGTAGAAAATATGAAAAGATCAAAAATTCATTTGTTTTGTTCTTTTCCCTAAATAAAGAAAACTAATTTTTTTGCCATGATCGAGTGCTTTTTCTTATATACAATACATAACTTGAAATGGAAAGAATAAAATAATATTGTATATTATAGTATGCATTCAGGCTTTTAGACAGTATACATGTATTTACAAGATATTTGACAGCTCGTGTATGCTTCAATGTCTAGCAATAATTAAATCAGACTGCATACATATGAAACTCATTCAGCAGCATCTTACTGCTGTATATTTGTGAGAAGTTCCTTAATAGGCATCATCTTAGTGCTGTATCTGTGTGAGAAGTTCCTTAATAGGCATCATCTTAGTGCTGTATCTGTGTGAGAAGTTCCTTAATAGGCATCATCTTAGTGCTGTATCTGTGTGAGAATTTCCTTAATAGGCATCATCTTAGTGCTGTATCTGTGTGAGAAGTTCCTTAATAGGCATCATCTTACTGCTATATCTGTGTGAGAAGTTCCTTAATAGACATCATCTTAGTGCTGTATCTGTGTGAGAAGTTCCTTAATAGGCATCATCTTAGTGCTGTATCTTTGTGAGAAGTTCCTTAATAG